CTTTAATTTAAACCTGTTCAGCTTTGCATGGGTTCTCCAGTCAGACAACGCAGGGGACAGTACATGCCTCCAACGCCAACTCTTCCTTCGCAAGCAGCTAGAAGCGTAGCAACAGCATTAAATTGTTTATTAACACGCGGATTGACCTGGGATATACTACCTCCGTCACCGATACCCAAGTTCAAATTGACTTTCTTGATATGCTCTGTAGGTTTCACGTCTCCCATGCTATTCGATGAAAAGAGGCATCCGTATCACTTGATGCTTCAAAAGTTTGTCAAGCTGGGCGGACAAAATGAATTTTTTAAGTAAGTTTTCGATAATTAACGAGATGCTCGTACAAAGATGAAACAAACTCTACAATTTTATGCACGTACAATTTTTAGCACTTTCCATTGGGCTTTGTCTGGAGGCGGACAGTTTCCATTATCGGAAGGATTAGAGCATCCGAACTTGCCCGATGGCACTGGAGAATTCTTAGACGCGTGGCTCATGCTTTTGGAGAAAATGGTGAATCCCAAAGCTATCCTGGACTCGCCTCACGTAGTTTCTACAAAATGTACGGGAATATACAAGGTGTACGAATTCGATCCAATAAAATACCTCACTGATATTCACAAGGTTTGTACGGAGCAAAGTCTCGTATTTAGCGATAAACAAATTTCTAATATAATTAACATATTCCTTTGTATCCCATTAATATTATAGAAAGCCTTCGAGGCAGTGATGCTAATGTGGGGTAAGAAACCATTGAAGAACTACGGAGCTCGTATGACGGAATCAATTTTATCCATCTTACGACACATTCTGCGAGGCGAGAAAATCATCAAGGTACGTCAACATAACCTAACTCGTTAGAATTTTCAAAGAGAATAAAAATCTAAAAAGTAGTGATACGTGTTACCAGGAACGCGCAGAAAAGAAGGAAGAGAATACCGAAGGAGCGAATACCAGCAGCACCAGCGGTGGTACTAGTGGAATTGGAAGGACTGGAACGATAACTGATCGCAGAGAAGAACCAGAAGCGGATCTGTTGAACTTGGAACACCTCAGACAACTGATGGATATGGGTTTCAATAGAGCAGACTGCATAGAAGCTTTGCTTCATACGTTGTCGGTTGAGCAAGCTACGGATTATCTTCTCACTAATCCCGCTACATTGCGCAGATCAGATGTCCCCGCGGGCGATGCAAGTGGACAGGGTCTGATAATGGACTTGGAATTGGTCGACGACGATCAAATAATGCACGCGATAGCGATGTCGCTCGGAGAAGCGGAAACGCGAAAGGTTTCTGGCCCGGAAGAACCTACTCGCGAGATCACTCTAACAGAAAGCATAGATGAATTTACAAATAGCGCTTTAAGTCAGTGTTTGAACTTGTTAGACCTCATGCCTGACACCGTGTATAGAATCTGCGATTTATTGGTTACCATTACTAAGAGGAACGGAGACGAATGGCGCACTAATATGTTGCTACAGCTCATGAATGAGATCGGCAGTCTGGTAGATTATTTAATCGACATCACTCAGAGCCCGTATCCGACCGCAGGTGCGCGATTAGTAGAATGCGAGGAAGCCAACAAGTTCGCTGGACGCATCTACCTTTTCACATTGTTTTTCGAGGGAACGTTCAAAGAAATGCAAGTGCCCTGCGCTCTGATGGTCCAAGAATTGGACATGTTCGACTTGTTCGTACGATTGTTAGTAGCGAGCGAAGGGCCGCTCACGGCGAATAAAAACAAACCCATTAAAGATAACAATAAAAATTCGACCCCGACTACGAACACTCCGAAATGGCTGGCGCCTTTATTGTTGCTTATAGATCGATTGGAAAAAGTAGCGATATTTACTAAGAGGCAATTACTGATGCACAGGGTAACGAGACATCAGTGGAAGTGGTTTGACATAAGCTCAGGAAAGTGGACGTTGTATTCCCCGGTAAATAATCAAATAATCAACGACGCGTATTGGGCTGGCGAATCCAGCACAAGAATCACGTGCGGCAGGCGAAGATATCTCATCAACTTTTCTTCCATGACACAAGTGAACGAGGAAAGCGACAATAGAAGACCCATCACGATGGATTTCAAATATTACCGAACCGAAGATGGCGGATTCGGTCCCGAATGGAAGATGGACACGGACGAGAGCGAAACAGAGGAGGGTCGAAACACGTTCGAGCACGGATTGAATCCTCACCAAGCTCCGGACATCATCCGCACCTGTGTGAAATTGTTAGCCATCCCAGTGGACCGAGACGCCCTGCACGCCTTGATGAAGGTTTGCCTTCGACTCACGAGGCACTACGAGAAGGCAAAGATATTTGCTCGCGAGGGCGGCGTGAAGCTTCTCCTGGAAATGACACAGGCGAGTAGCTTCATAGGATGCGTCCCTCTGAGTACTCTGTTGATACGTCACACCTTGGAGGAGCCGCGTACTCTTCGACTGGCCATGGAAAAGGTCATTCGGACTCGTACCCAGGGCAACATTCCCCCGACGTACAAAGAGATCCTATTCATGACGCGTCAAATCAGCAGCGCCGTTTGTCGTAGCCCTGAGGTCTATCAAGAGGTCTGCAAGAACATCTTGAGAGTCGACGTCAATTTACTGAGAAGAGAGGACGCTGATAATAGATTGATCGTAAGGGCTCTGCATCCACGGCATTCTCCGGCTCTGCCAATGGTGGAAGATGTCTCCGTGTCGGTTGTTCGCGACCTACTGAACGCTCTTATCAAACCCATGCCAATTCTTCCCGACGATACTACAGCTACACCCACGGGTAGTCCAGAAAAGAAGACTACTCACTCCAGTTCTACCGTGGCAACAACGTCCACCCGTCGAGACGTTCTGAGGAACAACGCCACAACGACGAACGATCCCCTCGACGACGACGACCAAGTCTCCCACATAATACCACTGAAGATTTACCCAGACATCGGCACCAACGGCAAGGTCGAGCCAGAAGAAGCTAAGAAACCGTTGCTGGCAAAGTCTGCTATACTGAAGATTCTAGCGGAAGCTGTTCGTTCTTACGGCGCGGTGGCGTGCTTGATCACGGATCACGTGTATCGGGCAGGTCAGAGCGAGATGGTGACCGAAGATACGACAGCTCTCGCCTTTCTTTTGGACAAACTCTTGCCAATGTTGCCAGAGAATTCCAGCGATAGACAATGCAGCAGCATGGCCAGGATGTTAATTGCTGCGATTGCTTCTTGCAACCACTCCTCGGACGCCCAGACGACTCTGGTCACCGAGGTGAAGGCTGCTCTAACGAGAACCCTGACGCTCCCAGAAAGCTCTGAGAAACACGCCCAGCTTCAACTGTTGATCGGATTGATCTCCACGATGATCGATAGCTGCCCTCCACCGAACCCAACTCACCAATTGAGGGCCTCTTTGAAGACTCATCAGTACAACAACGTTAACTACATCGTCAGGCTCATGTTGAGAAAGGGAATAATCACGGATCTAGCGAAGATTCCCCATAGCTTGGATCTATCGAGCCCAAACATGGCTGGTACCATCAACGCTGCTTTAAAGCCGCTTGAGACACTGTCGAGAACCATAAACCAACCCATGCCGGGCACCGTGAGCAATCAATTCTCGAAACCAAAAAGCAGGACCGTCCAGGAAGAGCCTATCGGGGAACAGACGGGTACCACGACGTCCGAAGCGACTCATGCCGTCGGAGAGGAAGTAAACGAGGACGCGGAGAACACCGAACACGATATATCCGTCACTGCTGAGAGCCTCGAGCCTACTTCCGAGAGCCAAGTGCACGAAGAAGGGGACGAAGCTGCTCTGGAAGAGATCATGGATCAACTTCTGGAAAGGTAACCATATGTAAATGATGTCAGTTACACTTGGTCCAGCAAGGTGAATTTTGTGGTAAAGAAAAAACCAAGTGATACAAAGTAATGTTTCGTTTTGTTTACCTGAGCCTTTACCCTTGCTGGACGATATATGAATAGAAAGTTATAAATATTTCTCGCTCTTGAAACACAGTACACCTTTTAAATATTTTGGAATATCTTAGAAAAACTAGTAAAATTTTATTATTGAGAATTTATAGTTGTATAAATAATACCATCATTTTTGGGGCGTATAAGCTACTGTACTTATAATCAAGTAGTGTACTGTTTTCCAGGGACGGGTCCGCCGTGGCGGAGGAGCAGTCCTCTAGGCCTCACAGACCAATGGATATCGACGACGAGAGTCTCGCTATACACGACGGGGAAGCTGATTTCGACCCGACACGAGACACCACAGTAAGAGTAACATCGCTTTCTTTTCAACTTCTTTCGATTATCCGTAAAAAACTTTGCTTTTAAAAAGATAATGTCCACACGTACAAACTATCGTTCAAGCAAATACAGTAACTGGTTCACATTCGACAGTTTTTCTTGTTGTCGACGGAACATTATGTTAAAATGTAAAGCAAGGTGGTTTTGAAACCGTTGGATCCTTGTACGTTTAGAATACAATGCAATGTCGTACTTTCTAGGAGGATCTGATGAGCTCCGACTCGGACTCCGACAGTAATCCATCCGACGACAACGAAGACGAAGTACAGGACGACGAAGATGAAGAAGAAGAAGAAGAGGACGATGGTAATCTAATAATAATTAATTAAATCCCCGTCGACTGTAATATTTCAGAGAATATTAAAAATGAGTGAATATGTATTAGGGGAAGAAAATGAAGAGGAAGAGGAGGAGGAAGAAGATGGATCGTCTAATTACGAAGAGGATGGAATAGAATTTTACGAGGACGTCGGAGAGAATAGCGTTTTCAGAATGTTCCCATCGACTGAACGCGACGGTAGCAACGTTGTCATGATTCAACACAGTATCGACAATCAGGACAACGTGAATTCGTCCACTCCTGTTACACCGCGACCTAGTATTCCTTGGAGTACAACGTTTCCTCTACCTCTGGGACTTTTCGAAGAACCTCCCTCAGTCTCCGAAGCCAATGGTAAATGCGAACATGAGATTACAGGAACTCATAGCATACATATCTATTTATTTACAAAATTGTAAGTACCTCTCGAAGTAAATGTTTATAGACGTGTATTCTTTTTCAGGTATTAACCCGCATCCGTTGCTAATACCATCTCCTAGTACAAGGGCCCAGAGAGCCATGCGACAACGAAGGTATCAGTATCTTCATTTAACGAACCCACGAAATCCGAATCCACCTGTAATATTGCAAAGGTAAATTAATTCGAAATACAATAAAAATAACAAAGTATTTAACTCAAGTATCGTAGCCGTACGAATTGTAATTGTTCTATTTATACTTTCAGACTCTTAGGCCCAGCCGCGCAAGCGCTTCCCTTGTCCGCGAGTCAAGTTCTGGCCTCGAGTTTCAGAGACACGCGTGTTGTCGTAATGGACAACGGGCTTGGTATACTCACTAATCAAGAAGAGGAACAAATAGACTTTGTGGTTAGTAATATTTATATCGTTAATAAATATTAAAAGATATTTAATAAGTATTTACGGTAACATTTTCTTTCAGGATCAATCTGGCTATCTTTTCGGGCCCAGTCTTGCAGCCACGTTGAACAATATTCCAACCGCGTTGCATTGGTGGATCGAGGAGAGTAAATTGTTAGACGGAGACTCTCAGCCAGATTGTTGCGTTGGTAAATATTTGGCGTCGCTAAAAAATATCGATTCTTAAACATAACCTCTTAACATTTTTCAACTTTGTGTTATAGGCGTTGTACATAAACTAATCCCTTATCTGGAGATACGCAGAAACGCTGTCCTAGCGGAGCGAAAGGAGAGACGTAAGAAGCAACACAGTTCCGAGAAGAAAGATGAGAAAGATGGCAAAGAGGAAAAAGATCACCTAAATAACACGGAATGTACGTTAATGATTTATTTGAATTTGATTTAAGAACTATCCAACTCTGAAAATCCTCCATGTAGTACGTGTTTAAAATATAATTATTTTTAACGATCAGCTGGTTCTTCTGCCGTGATACCCATGGAAGAGCAAAGGTCAACAGCGTCAACATCTCAGAGAGAAGACGCGAATAATCTCGTCACCGGATTCGAAACGTCCGTCGAAACAACTCGGCAAGAACGCACCCCAGACGAGGACATAATCGACGTAACGGGTGAAATGGAGGTGACGGTTCAAGAGGACGAGGAAAGACCTCCGCCGCCTCCACCACCCGAGGAACAATCGTCGGAACCCAGGGATCCCCAAATAAGTACTCTGGAGATAGCGGAAACGCGCAGAATAAGACCAACGGATCGCGTCGCTGAAGGATCCAACGCCAACGAAGCGTCTAGTCGATCCATCGTCAACGAGGCGTCTAGTCGATCCAACTCGTCAATAGTGGTTGATTTTAGTCAAGAAGGTAACGAAGATTTGTCGAGAGAAAGTGGTGACTCGTCTGAATGGATCAGAATGCTTTTAGCCAATGACAGTCAGTCGAACGTTGAACGAAACGCAAATGTTCTTAATCAAGATCCCACCACTTCAGCGTCAGAAAACATTAACCCAGAAACGACAGAACCGCAGCAGCAACAACAGCCCCAGCAACCGGAGCAACCGCAACCGTCGCAACAGCAGCAGCAACAACAGCAACAGCAGCCTCAGGAACAACAATTACCCGATGGCGTGGATCCGTCATTCTTGGCTGCACTACCTGAAGACATGCGCGATGAGGTTATAGCCGAACAGCTCAGGTACCCGTCATGTCTAACATTTATCATTTGTATTTAACAAATAACGAATCAAAGCTTAAATTTCGCGAATGAAAATAAATTGAACATTGTTCAAAATTGTTGCAGACTTCAACGAATTCGGCAACGAGCTCAGGCAACCGTGGTCGAAGAATTAGCAGGACCGGTCGAGGTTAATCCAGAATTTTTAGCTGCTCTGCCACCAGCGATCCAAGAGGAAGTTCTCGCTCAGCAACGTCTTGAACAACAACGGCACGCTGCTGCATCCGCCAATCCGGAAGATCCCGTCGACGCGGCTGCTTTCTTCCAGAATTTACAGCCTTCTCTTCGACAAGCAGTTAATACATTAACATATGCAAAACAATGAAGTTATTCTTAATGTATTTTCTCGATATTTATCTGGTCGTTTACTGTACCCAGATTTTGACCGACATAGAGGAATCGCAAATATCCGTTCTTCCGCCCGACTTAGCCCAAGAAGCTCAGAACCTCAGGAGGGAGTGGGAAGCTCGAAATCGACACATGATGCAGGAAAGATTTCTTAACCACGTTAGCCAGGAGCACGCAACCTTGTCCAGCATATTAAGGAGCACCGGTGGAGGTAAACGACCGTCTTGATCCGTTGATTGAATTTTTAACGAAACAACAAATGAAAAATGGACAAAGTTTAATTCGTACTTTTTCGCGTGATATTTAACAGGTAGAACTGGCGCCACGCGTTATTCGATCCACGCGGTTGCGCAAAGAGGCCAGTGGAGTCCGTGGAACGTACGTGGCGATTCTAGCATAACGCATCAGGGAGCAGGCTTGCGACTCAGGGGCAGACAATTGCTGGACCATGAGTCCATGGCCTGTCTACTGGTATTACTGTTTGTTGATGAACCAAAAATTAATACGTTAAGGCTTCATAGAGTTATCAGGAATCTTTGCTATCACGGTAGCACAAGGGAGTGGGTAGTTAAAGCCTTACTAAGTATCATGGAAAGAAGTAACGACGAGAATAAAGATATCGCCGCGGATTTCGGCGGAAAATTCAAAAGGAAAAGCTTGATGTCCACGATGGACTACCAGTAAGACATTTTTCTCAAAGCAGGCTGTATCGACCTCGGAACAATTTCTCTAAATTGCGCTTATGTTTCTTCCTCCAGTATCCCCAATATCTTCGACCAAAGAAACAACGCACAATCATGGATAAACATTAGCATCGACGCCGCGCTTGGATGTAGAGCGAACGTCTTTCAAATCGTCAGACACGGTGTGAAAAAGTCGGCGAGACAAGGCAGCAGTATCGCCATTCATCCCCAAGCCGCGCCCACGGTGTGCAGGTGAGTCGATGAAGTCTATTATTAAAAATTGAAAGTTTTCATTCGCCATGATTATAATCATTTGAATATTTATACCTTGCAGGCACACGTTGGATTTGTTGATATCACTGGCGAAAGGTTTCCCCGGATACTTCGTGCCGCTCAAGTCCAAGGAGGCGGAGGAAAAGGAAGGAAACAAAGAGAAGGATTCGAGTAACAAAGAAGAGCCTGGTTCGAAGAACAAATCCGCCTCGAAGCCTGGTAAAAGCGATCAGCCAGACTTCTGGGATATGCTCTTGAAACTAGACTCGTGCGCGTCGAAGAAAGGAAAGTCGGTGGCTAGGACGCATTCGAATTCGAACCTAGGAAACGAGCCGGAGTGCAGTACGACCACTTTCGAGGCCTCTGCATTCGGTCAATTGATCTCTATGCTGAACTGGACGGTCATCAAGCGCAGCAGTCAGTTGACGGATAAACTGTTGAGACTGCTGTCGCTGATCTCGATTGGACTGACAGAAGTGAATCCATATCGCAGGCAGGAAGGAAATAAGAACAAGAAGACGGACGTGAACAAGGAACAGAGTGTCGCCGCGCCCGAGGAACACCTCAGATTGGCTGTACAAGTGCTAACCAGCAAGAGCTGTTCGGAGGAGGGACTCGAGGATGCAACTGCTCTGCTGCTTAACCTGTCCCATTGTCCTGATCCCACTAGGCAACTGGTAACGTCGTTAAGCCTAATCGAATACAAATAAATCAAAATATTAATACAAATCGAAATAATATCGATACAAATAACTATGGTATATTTCTTGGAATATTTTCAGATATTAAAACTATTAATGGAAGGTGCCATGGAACTGGCTAATATGGTTTGCGAGCATATAAATGATCTAATGATGGAATTGAAAGTTCTGAATCACGAAATAAGAAGGACTTACATCGACGAGCAACCTTCGACCAGTACCGGGGGTTCGCGTGGAATTCTCATGGATAGGTATGTACGATGTTAATTACTATTATCGTACAAGATATTTACTCATTAATTAATTGATCGAATATAGGTTTACAAATGAAAACGTAATAGTCACTGCACCGAGCAAGGTCAAAGCTGGAAGTGACCTTCAGCTACCATCAATGGCTGCCCTTGTTAGCAAAACTTCTAGTCAGGCATTCTTCTTAAGAATACTTAAAGTGATTGTACAGATAAGGGAAGCTGTACGTTTAGCGAACACTAAGAAAACAAGTACGTCAATTTATTATTTTCTTGCACCAAGGCTCCCGAAAGCGTCGAATTAAAAATACATCATTGAATTTTTTTTATATGTCGTTTACAGCCAATCAAACCACAGAAGGTACCGGAGATGCTGCTAGCACGACTCAAGCTCCAGAAGCAGGTAACTTAACAAACTTAATATTTACGAACACAAAACTGGTCCAAACTGCAACGAATCGGTGATTAATAAGATTTAAATGTATTTTTAAAAGGTGACGAAAATGCCGACGCTGACGTGCCTATGGATACAACGCAAGCGAACTCGTCTCAGTCTGAAAATGCGAAACCAAGTACCACATCTAATGGTAAGTAATAAATGATAGCTTTATCATGACGCTATAACTAATCAGTGAGAATACACAAGATTTATAACGTTCACTTCTTACAGCTGAAGAAAAGCTGCCGTTATTGAGTGAAAGTTTAGTCCTGGATCATTTGTGGGAAACACTCAGCGCTTGTCTATTGGAATTGGAATACACTCCCGACCATCACGCTGTTTTAGTTTTGCAGGTAAAGTATATTCTAAATTCTGAAATTCCTAGCAAGCAGTACATTTTCATTCTGTCAAACAATTTAACGAACTAAAACGACGGAATAATAAATCAAATAACACGTTTTATATATGAAATTCAGCCTGCGGTGGAGGCGTTTTTCCTGGTACACTCGTCGCTGAGTACCTCTCGCGAGCGTCAGATGAGTACAAACGCGGAAACGCGCGAGGTTGTTCCCGACTTGGCGCCAGTCTCGCCAATTTATTCAGACAACGAAGGCACATCTCAGTCGGAAACTACCAACACATCCTGGGACATGACTCCGCCGCCTCAGAAGACGCTACCACCGGACCAACTCAAGTTCCTCAAATTTGCTGGTACGATATCGATTCCTGTCGCGATAAGATGCTGATTTAATAAACGCCCACCGTACTTAAAACCGTTCCAATGGATATGTTTCCCTTATAGAAACGCACAGAACCGTTCTAAACCAAATTCTTCGTCAAACAACCACGCATCTCGCGAACGGACCATTCTCTGTGTTGGTGGATCACACGAGAGTCCTCGATTTCGACGTGAAAAGACGGTACTTCCGCGCGGAACTGGAACGAATGGACGAAGGTATACGCAGAGAAGAATTGGCTGTGCACGTTCGCAGAAGTCACGTCTTCGAGGATTCCTTCAGAGAACTCCACAGACGAAACGCGGACGAGTGGAAGAATCGATTTTACATCGTCTTCGAAGGTACAGAATCCATGAAAATATAAATATTAAAACAAATAAGTAAATTCAATTCAAAGGTAGATATAATTGAATTAATGTTGTGTGTTATTAATTGCCAGGCGAGGAAGGTCAGGATGCCGGTGGATTGCTCAGAGAGTGGTACGTCATCATTTCCAGAGAAATCTTCAATCCCATGTACGCTCTGTTCACCGTGAGCCCTGGTGATCGAGTAACATACATGATAAACTCCTCTTCGCATTGTAATCCCAACCACTTGTGTTATTACAAGTTCGTCGGTCGAGTTATCGGTGAGTTCTCTTCTGGATTGTAGCTAGGAGAAAGCCAGACGATATATGAAACTGTCTAACGTTGACGATCACTTCCACAGCTAAAGCAATCTACGACAACAAGCTCCTGGAATGTTACTTCACTCGTAGTTTTTATAAACACATTTTGGGAATACTGGTGAAACACACGGACATGGAGAGCGAAGATTATAGTTTTTACAAGGGGCTCGTGTATCTCACGGAACACAATATCGCTGATCTTGGATACGAATTGACCTTCTCAACGGAGGTGAGTTCCATTCTTCGTGTATTTACTCATCTAAAATCTAACATATATATATATATTATTTGTATTAACACTAATGTTTAGGTGAACGAATTCGGTGTAAATGATGTACGCGATTTAATACCAAACGGACGCAACATCATCGTCACCGAAGAAACGAAGTTAGAGTACATCCGGCTTGTCTGTCAGATGAAAATGACCGGAGCAATTCGTAAACAGTAAGTTCGCCGCTTTATCATCCGTACAGGCGATTGAAAGTATCTATAAAATTATAAACTACTTATTAAAATTGTATTCTATTTTTCTTTGTAGATTGAACGCGTTCCTAGAAGGTTTTTACGACATAATTCCAAAACGACTGATCTCCATATTCAACGAGCAGGAACTGGAACTGTTAATTAGTGGATTACCTAATGTAGATATCGAAGATCTTAAAGCCAATACCGAGTATCATAAGTATAGCGCAACTTCTTTACAAGTAAGTGCATCATACTTTAAAAATAAAGTATATAAATATATGTATGAAAAGATATAATGGTGAAATGTTGGTACGATTTATAGATTCAGTGGTTCTGGCGCGCGCTGCGAGGTTTCGATCAGGCAGACAGAGCTAAATTTTTACAATTTGTCACTGGAACTTCGAAGGTGCCCTTGCAGGGTTTCGCCGCCCTGGAGGGAATGAATGGTGTACAAAAGTTTCAAATTCACCGCGAGGACAGATCGACAGACAGGCTTCCGTCAGCTCACACATGGTAAGTTCCTCAATGAATAAATTAAGATAATGGCGTATCCGCCATTTTGTATCTTTTATATCACTTCTATATCATATTCATATTTAGCTACTTTAATTTGCTTTATTGCATGCAATTTCCATGCAAATGGAATTTTTACATTTGTCACAATTAACTTTTTAATCGACTATTTTTTTCTTTAGTTTTAATCAACTGGATCTACCCGTGTACGAAACGTACGACAAGCTTCGCATGAATTTACTGAAAGCTATCCACGAGTGTAGCGAAGGTTTCGGTTTCGCTTAAATTCTAGCAGAGTCGAGCGAACCTTGCGTGACATTTTGTATGGGGTGAATCGAAGAGCGAAGGGTGTGAAGCGGGAAAAAAACAATGGAGAGAAGGAAGAATCGAGAGAGGGAGTAAAAATATAGAAAAGTTGCTAAAGAATTGTAAAAGTACCGTGAGAACGTATCGATCTTCGCTCAAGATCTAGTATATAAATGTTTACTCCGCTATATACATATTAAAACTAAAAAGGCGTATGTATATACGTATAATTAACAATGTAATTACCGATGATTCGTCGCTAGAGTTTATTTTGTTGAATGATCTTAAAGAGAGAGAGAGAGAGAGAGATGCAGAGAGCTTAACGATAATTCCCGACCGAAAGGAAAACTTAATCGGACACTTTAGTTAAGGACCTTTACGATTAAGGTTAACTGATAAGGTACTCGGTGTAATTCATCGTTAAGAGAAAGCTGCGGGCTGAAGTAAATGTAATATAAATTGCGACTTGGTAGCCAGGAGCTCTCTTGATTAAAGGTTTTCGAGAGAAGAGATAATCGAATAGGTTTTTGCCAGAACGAACGAGGGCAAAGGAGGAACACACACACACAAAAAAAAAAAGAAGAATAAGCGACGGAAGTGTGCCTGGTAATCTGAATACGTGTTTATTTCCTTATATGCGTGAAAGAAAGAGATTGCAAGGAGCTAGAATACGTGAGCACTTGTGCGTGTGTGGCAAGCGCGCATGTGTGTGCATGGGTGTGATCAGAATGAAAGAATAATTATTCAAGAAACCGATTAGACACGAGCCTAAATACGAAAAAAAACAAACATTTCATGATGTTATATCCTTACGCCCGCAACAACAACAAAAAAAAACAAGAAATAACGTATGGTTGTACACTATTAGTATTAATAATTATATTATCTAATTCTTAATCGATAGTAATGATCATTAATTAATTAATATCGTTTTAATATTAATCATTCGAGAAATGTGATGTTGAAAAAAGGAAGTCGTGTAACTTTTTTCCTTTTCTTTTTTTTCCTATAGATAACGCGATCACGTCCATTCCTCCCCCCCCCCCCCCCGCGTTCGATCCTCGAACTTTCTTTGGCCAATCTCTGCTACGTCTGCTCTGGGAAAGTAATGAAATTTACGATCGAACATTAATTTTGTAAACACATCGAATGGGACAATATAATACTGTTTTGGAGAGAAAAGCATAGATCCATGTCCCCCCCCCTGGACTCTTCTTCGCGATATCGCTAGGGAATTATTGCTTAGGAATTCGCAGAATAAACTAAATGTTGTATTTCTTATAAATTAATTGCGTTTTTTTTTTATCGCGAATACGACGTATTCGTTACACCTCTTTCAAACGGTTTTTTGAGAAATGTAGGAAAACGACAGGTTTTAACGAATATTAAAACTGTAATCTTGATATCATGGAAGAAATTACTACGAATTTTTTTCAAAGGATATCTTTAAAAAATCATCATCGAAAAAACATTCATTATTTTTCATTCGTTTTTCATTTCAACGAACATCTAGTAACGATAAATAGAATCATTGTTATTTAATGCTATGTCTACGAGAGATTAATTATTTATTTCTTGACGAGCATAGAGTCGAACGTTGCAGACCCAATGGCAGACAGTACTCCCGGAAGCTTGAACGCTAGAAGCTTGAAGCTTGAAAGCTTGAAAGCTTTCTTCGCTAGAAAGTTCGTTAATATCAATATTCGTTTAAAAACAGAAAATTGGAAACTTAATTGTTTACTTCAATAAAAATGAAAAAGCGCTAGATGAAAGGCAATTTGATTTGCGTATTGATTTTGAGATATTTAAAAGAAAGAAAAAAACGAATTTTTACCGGAATTATTTTTTTACATTTTCTACAATCGTGAAAAAAGAACAAGACTTTTCTCGCATGTATATACAAACTTTGTACAATGGGCTTATATGACAAAGTAATAAAAAAAAATACACAAAAGAAAATGTAAACTACAATTGTATTATATATATCAAAACTATTTACAATTTATTATGATGAAGTAGAGTCGAGAAAGCTGCTTCTATAACTAAACGTTAGAAAAGTTATAATTTATTAATGTGAACGTCATATTATCCTGTAATTGTAATTATAAAAAAACTGTATCTCTGAAAAATGCATTAGAGAATTTAAAAAAAAAACATATTCGGTAGATTAGGAAACGCTTCGTCGGTTTTATGATGTAGCCTTAGGTTTTAGTTCTTCGAAACACGGTCTAAGAAATATGGAGTTTTTCTTCGCTGGATTATAATACTCGTGTCCCTGTAACGTTAATAATACTGTAATTAATAATCCCCTCTTTCTTTTCAATGTTGCGTACAACCTTAAACGGAACGTTAATTTAAAAGACCTTGTTGCTATCAGTAACAATGTTTCTTTAGAAACAATAATGCTGTGTACATAAATTAAATTAATTGAGACTTGTAAAGGTTACGAATGGATATTCGTATAAGTTTTAGTTTCCTTCAATCCTTTAATCATGTGACTAAAATATTTCCATTTTAATAAAGGCAAAAATTCTTCATTTCTTGTTCTTGACATTCGGTTGCAATTGTGTAAACAAGCATAAATCATTCGTTTAATAAACGTTTAAATCGTCTTCGTGAGAAAAATATTCATTAAATAAATTAAACGTTTATTAAATGAATAAATTAAAATAGTATGGTAAATAAAAGAAACAATATTACCTTTGACCAATCGTAAGATACGGCATATGCAAATATTTGTCCATTGTGATTAAAGCAGCATCGAGTGATAGGTTGCTCCATGGGATCGGACGATTTTAATTTCGTTCGCGAATCCTTATCCCAGAAACCGAAAGTGCCGTCGCTTCCAACAGTTGCAACAGTGCCATGAACTGGATGAAAGGCAATATCATTCACCTAAAGATAAAAATGTAATTAACCATTGCATTCTTCAACTGTTACAATAACTGGTTTAAAGCTACTTTGTTTTTGTACTAACCGCATAAATATCTTGGTATCCATTAGGCGTTCCATTTACTCTGTGACATTTAAAAGTGAAATTCTCTTTTGTGCTCAAATTTAAATGATGTATCGCCACACGACCCTCCGTACTACCAATTGCAAAACCAGTAGGAACTTTCTTCTTGTCTCTGAAGATTGCAACACATCTATACTGATACTTCAAGTTTAATTCCACAGTTTTGTATTCTCTAGGGCTGCCTTCTAATTGATAAACTATCAGCCCTCTGCCTGCGGTCCCTACCACTGCCATTGGATAATCCTAATCGGATAGAGAAATTATTATTGACTAGAACGTAAAAGATATTAGGATATGAAAGTGTATACTTACAACATCTGCGCAATAACACCTTTCAATTAAATTCAGAGTCATCGCTGCTTTAGGACTCCGCAAATCCCAAAACTGAAAGATGTTTAATAATTATCATTAGAATATGGAAAATATGATAGGTATAGGAATACCTGAGTAGAAACATACTCTTAACGTTTTATCCCAAGAGCCTGTCATAAGGCACGAATACGTGCTCGCTTTGATCCAGTGACAAGTTTTAATAGGTGCATCGTGCGCAGCGACTTGTATACTCTGATTCGAGGCTAAATCCCAACATTTCGCTGTCTTGTCGCAAGATGCCATGAATACTTTTGTTCCATCCTATTGTAGCAATAGAATAAAATAGCTACTCCGATAGAAAAAGGAGAGAATAATGAGACTTACGTCGATCCAACAAACGTCCAAAACTGGAGCTGCCATGGACTGCATGGACTTGGGCACGGTTTTACCAGACTGTTCAACCTCCCAACAACGAACATTGCAATCCCACGAGCCAGCAACGAGGAAATTCTGAGAAATGGACGCTGGACTGAACGCGAGACTGGAGATAGAGTCGTCCGGAGGTGAAACAACCTCAAAATCTTGCATCGGATTAGACGCCGACGTTGTCCCCGTTCTTAACCCTCCGCTTTGATTGAACATATTCGATTACTGTCGCCCCGACAACGTTCGATTGATAGGAAATTAATTCGTCGTTCGTTGAAACGTCCTAAAAGTATAAAACGCGATTATAGAACCATTCGAGCAAACACGCGTTCGCACCTTTTGTTGCGTCAAGAAAAGCAAAATATTGTTTTGGCGGGGGAAGCTAGTAGTATCGTCATCTAGAGGAGGAATGGGAAAGATTGTGTGGAATAACCTAAAAAAGAGATTATCTTATGGTTTGAATGGAGAAATATTCCATAAAAGAGTAGGAAGCTAACATTAGCAATATCAGGAGGAATTAATTTTTAAGGTTACATATCTAAATTTCAACGTATTGTCTATATATAAACACTCAATCAGTTTTATGGACCGAAAAATACTAGCGCATCTAGCGGCGAATCTCGAACTAATTTTGACCAGCTTGTGGGTTCACAAATCGTGCAGGAAACTAACGTTTAGGCTTTTTCAGTGGCGCCATCTATGAGAGAATGCTCCAAGCTTGTCGCGGAATAGTTCAGAATTTCAAACGCTAGATGACGCCACCAATAAAAATGAATAATTTATACGGTTCATTGCATTATAACGCTGCTATATATTAGTTAAAGATGCAAATTTATCATTCCTATGGATAGTTATTTAATTCAGCAATTATTATCGACCTCCTTGGCTAGTCGCGTCATCTAGTGGAACAGTGTGAACTATTTTCGCTACAAACTTGGGCATTCTGCCACCGATGGGGTCACAAGTATAAATACTAAATTATTCTCAAATTTTATGGAATTTAGAATCAAAAAAAAAAAATAAAGTATTCTTTACTCAGGGGAAATACTAATTTACTAATTAAGCAATCAATTTTATGATTGTTCTAAACGTAATGACACGTAATCGAAAATACGTATAGTTACCAAGTTTGAAGGAATGACAACAGTGATAGTATATAGTAGATTATCTATATATATACAATCTGTCCTTACGAAGACATAGTAAAAGTGATTTGTTTATTTGACGCTAAACAGTTAAATAATTAATTAAATAAAATGCCTGGTAACGTTGAACATCGAACAGTAACGCCTCTTTTAAAGGCATTTCGAGATATTATACGAGGTGTAAGTAATTAATTTTTAGCTAGTACTCGAGTATACCAATCAATTTTTTTAGAAATTACGTAACTTTTTGTTTCTTTTAATTTCCGAAAATTATTGAGATTATTTTTACAAAATGATCTTACACAGTGTCATTAATGATAACCATTTAACGTCACGTCTTTAATTCAAGATTGTACATTATATTTATCACTTTGTTGGTTATGTATAATTTGTGTGCATTTAGTTAAATATTTTGTTAATATCATAAATTATATAAATACCAGGAAGTGGTTTGAAGAATGCATCAACATTGCAGAAACCAGTTGTGGAAGCATTAAGATTCAAGGATCAACTTTCTGCACGTACCCAACCACCACCATCGATACCTGGTGGACCGAACCATAAACTTACCAAAGTTTATTACTATACACGCGATGCTAGGCGTCTTGTTCAACCACCCGTCGAGATATACGCGCAAGGTCGATTAGAATCAGGGTACTTATCACTAATATCATAATAATTTAGCATTTATGTTATACGTGTATAAAGCATTTTGTTTGATATTAATTCATAGTTCATTGTAACTAATCGCATACTATTTACCGAATTCATTCTAGGGAAAGCGCATCTACCAAATCTGCAATTCCAACACCAGCTAAAGTTTATATACCTGACAAATAGCAAATGTGATCAAATTCACTGAACATTAGTTATACTATAGTAATTGCATGTAATAAATTAAGTATCGATTGAGAATTATTATAGAGAAAAATACTGATGTAAGTTTACGAATAAAGATTTTTTTTTTAAAGTAATTTTCCCATTTAATGTTTAATCGATAACAGTACATAAATAATAAACAGAGGAATGTTTTCATATACACGTCTCCTGCGAACGGCAGGCATATAGAATAATTCTTGAGTTTATAATACATTATTACATACATACAGAGCACGACGCTTTCATAAAATTTCTGTGAGTCTACGTATAACATTGACGGTGAGAGGTTTGTACATTCGGCAGATTAGATACTGCCATATCTAACAATACAGTACACCGTGTACCTGTTCAACAATCTTCACGGAAAGAAATGAATTTCTCCGTTCTGGACTAACAATCATAATACGGAAGTCTCTCTCAAACGTAATAATTTAATAAGGAATTTGATTCTGATAATACTGTATCATGTCGTAAGTTTTCGTACGGAAGTTGAGGTAGCTGTTGCGTATTACATTGAGCATAAAGGCCGCTGCTTCGCGATCGGTAGCTGTCGGTACGAATCTACCGCGTAGAAGCTTGATCGTCTGTCCACGGAAACAGGGTAACCCGGTATCGAGCATCAGAGAAACCAGAGAAATGATTGCCTCTTGATAAGGCCTGGAAGAGAACATTGTGATTCGAATAAAATTTCTATGATGAAACACTAACGAGAAGAGATTCGAGGATGATTAAAAACATTGTAAATACATTTACCTCACCGCGAGGAAAGCTTGTACGCACAATTCCATGAACCAACGGAAGGGCGCCGCCTCCATTTTACCTCCCATTACGAGCACCATTTCATCAGTCAGTTTAATATCAGGCTCAAATCCTAGGTTACCACCTGGTGAACTCTCGAACATGAACCCAAAATCGATATGTATGATATGACCTTCGGTGTCCAGCATAATGTTGCCGTTGTGGCGATCCTTTATTTGCAAGAGATACGTGATGACGCTGTAAGCGGCCATTGATCTCACGAAATTTCGACGAACGTTTTGGAATTCTTTTGTCGTTTCGTCGCCGTAACGAGTGATGAAATATTGATACATGTCGATGTCGGTTGTTCGACCAAGTTGATCGCGAGACGTCGCATTTGGTACGCATTCTATAACGCCACACTGAAACGTGCGTCGATATCAATAATTGCACGATACTTTTTATAAGAGTACACTTAATGATATTATAAATATGAAATAACTTACTCCAGGCGCTGTAGCTACTACTCTGTACGGGAATAAAAATAGATTCAATCCAACTTTCTGGAATATATTTTTGAAAATACTGATCACTTGCAGAGCTAGCATATCTTGTCTAACGTCGTCGCCGACTTTGAAGATGGCAGCCTGCCACGTTTCTTTCGTCGGGTCTCTTTTAATTTCCACTTTCCCATTAGCTGATACAGCCAACGCGATATTTTCCAATTCGTTAATACCATATTTTTGTACTTTGAAACGCGCCAAAAACGGTGCTTTCGCGGCACTGTAAATCGTAAAAAGTGTATTAAACACGGTTGGTAAATTTGTTCTAAACGTGTTGCTCACCTCTGCATAGGAGTTCCGCTTTTATAATCGATATCGATAACCATGGCTTCAGGGTTAGACGGTAAATAGCAACCAGGTTGTACTTTTATCTGAGCCAAAGCCTTCAAGCATGCCTTTTTGCGTTCAGGACCTTTGGGGTATGGCCTTATCTCACCAGAAATATTTGTAATTTTTTCAAAGAATTCGAATTCCCTTTCGTAGAACTGTTTCGCTGGACCAGACAATGATCCCAGGATACTCTTCACCAGCGAGTCAAGTATATCGAAGAGAACGGGATCCTTTATTTGTTTATCTTCGTCCATGTACATGTTTGTATGCATGTTCCAAATTAATTGATGCGCCACTACCTGTACACAGTAAATAAAAATATGGGCGACCGAATTAAGAGGGATTAAGATACAGGTTTCTTTCGTAACTTACCTGCGAACGTTTCGAAATTTTCTTGATAAATTCTATAACATAACCCATGGTATCGTGACGCACTGCTTGCACGAGTTGAGGTATATAGAAAAGCACAGCATCCGCTGGGTAACTGCTCAGCACCTCTACTGCGTACTGCGCAGAGATCGGATGATGAGGAAACTGACGGGAAAAGTACGCCAGTGCTTGAATAGGTGACACTCTTTCCCATGTTAACATGTACACCAACTGAAGCACAATCGGTTAACGAATTAGAATTTTAAACTGCAACAAATTTCCAAGGTTTTTATTGGAAAGGTGTCTCACCTCAGGTACGTCGTTCAGTAACGTATCCGTGGTAACCAGGTATTGCAGAGCTTCTGGCACGTGCATGACTGGCACGGGTTTGAGACGTACCAGTACGCACACTTCTTTGATAATAATTTCGGAATTCTTCAGTCGAGCAGGCAAAAATGTAGCGAGAACAGGACTGATTTGCCACGCGAGACGCGTGTATTCGCGCCACTTGTCGTTCATGCCCTTGGCACGCCATTCCGCAATACTCGATTCACCTGCAAGCGCAAGTTCCTGTCTTCCACCGGGATTCCTCCAGACCTACGTCGATATACAGTACTGAAGAAATGACTGTTTAATGAAAAATATAATATTTAACTTACCAGCAACATTTCTATTTCCACTGCCAATAATTCCAGAATCAAGTTTCTCTTCTTTATGTAATCTTTTACGAAAACATTAGCGTTCATGACGCGCTTGCTACGATTGCTACGTTTACTCAGAGTGTTGCTACTGGTGGACATTGGGACAGTATTAATCCATACGCTCGACGGGGTTTTCGAAAACTCGGTGTTCGTTGTACCCAGAGCTGTGTTCAGCGAGCCGATTGTCTCGCTATGCCCAAAACCACTCGTCGCGTAGGACTGGGTCGTTAGCATCTCAAATTCACCATCGTTACCAGTCATCACCAGATATTTTTTATCGCTGTGCATAACCTGCAAGGCCATAAAGCGGACAATGGTGGTTCCGATTAAAGAGATTAATTTATATACCTGCCAGAAGCGTATGAGCGTAACCAAATCCTCGCGCAGTTGATCGAGTTCTTGCGTTGGCACTTGACGATCCCGACAGAAGTAATCCAAACAGTTACAATAAACGCGTTCGCGTAATACATTTTTGCTCAACGTCCTGCGGACGAAACTCGTTATTCACCCGCTTATTCTCTACTCGGTACTACATCCTTCACGATACCTTGGCAAAGTATCTCCTTGAAGGAGAAACAATCCGCAAGAGAGCAGTTTAAAGCGCACCCCCACCGCAGCAACGTGTCGACTCATTCCAGGTTCCTCGCCGGAACCGCCAACGGTCATTGGCAGCGTCCTGTGCAGCAGGGTGGCGATCATGTCGACTGTCTCCTGACAGCAATACTTGGCAGTTTCGATTAATTCCACGATAAAGCCGACCCAAATTTCGTGAGGCTTCACCAGAGGGGGATTCGGGCCTAATTTGCATCCTTCGTACACTGCCAGCGGGCTGACTTCCTCTTCATTTGGGGCGAACAGACCCATCCTCTTATCAACGGTGTACTGCCACGCGACAAGCATTTCTTGTAAGAAGCGTAGCTTGAGATCAGGCCTGACCGTGAGTATCCATTGCCAACATTCGACCGCTGTGGTCATGGATGCGGCAGTGAATAATTCTATCTGCGAGGATGCTACCGTATGCAGCAATCGTCTGTGTATTCCTAAAAATATACAGTAACGTGCAGCAAGGAGAATAATGGAATCGATAATTATAAATTATCGTTATAAATTACCAGGCATGGAGATCAAGAGTGCTGTGGCACGCCAAAGAGAGCTACGATGTTTGAGATCGTTGCGAGTGCGACAGCTCATCCAAACGGCTTCGATCAACAGGTCGATAACTTTGTTTCTGCTTTCTTCCAAAGGTATCTCCGTGGTGGAAGATTCCGTTTGCGCTAAGTAAAGTATTCCGGCTATTTCTCCGGCGTACCGCGATCGCGTCGACATCATCGACAAAAGCCACGAGCTCGCGCCTTTCGGACATCGTGGCCGTTTATCTAACGAATTAGTCTGCAATAACATACGTTTTATGGTTTCGTAGGTAAATCACTGTTTCGTAGGATATTTCACTATTTTACAGGAAATAGTTTTACGTTTGGCAAGGCGGACATTGGAACAGCAAGGTCCACAAATTCGAGGACCGAGTCTGTAGACAAACACAAACCAGAATGATGTTTCAATCCGGACGACGGTATCTGATTCACATATTCTTGTAAGTGCGATCTGGTGGCCTGCGGCGCCCACTTCATGGCTTCCTGCACTATGCCTTTGCATCTCGCGGTGAAATCTTTCACGATGATCTGAATTACGGAATTCGGTTTCAATCTTGGACTAATTTTCACGCGCAACAATCGCATACGTACCTCTCTCGCTTCCGATGTATCCATGAGTTCGATGCTGTACGGTGTACTTGGTATTCGCAGAATTGGCGTTTCTTCGTTTGGATCAATTTGTAATGAGAAGGATAAAATCTGTAAACACGGTTATTATTTAGCTTTTATTAATATTCAATTACGTAGAACGAAGGGGAATTATACCTGTAATATGTCCAGCATGCTCCATAGCACCTTGCAATTCCACAAAAGATGCGGGAATGCGTCCACCAAAGCGCTGAGATATTTATCAGCTATCCGTCTAATTTGCTTGTGCACGTGATTGAAATGCACGAGTAGAAATTGTGCATGATTCTCGAGTTGCATCTCTCGCTTCTCGTCCTTTGGTTTACGCTGCATAGCGTCTTTAAATTTAACAAAGACGAAATCGGCGACGCAACACACGCACTGCCACATACCACTCTTTTCCTTTTGCAAATAAGTATCGCATAGATACTCCATGATCGGCTGCAAACTTGGCTCGGGGCTGTTTTCTACTCTTAACGTTTCTAACCAATACACGGATAATAAATATGTGCACTGAGCGAACTGCAATTTCGTTACGTATTGCGATATGTCGTTGTTCCTGTGAAACAAACCGTTAATTCGTCTGCTATTGCTACTGTTACTAATAAGGATTAGA